AAGTAACGACTCTATATATTATTGTTGTGGTAGTTTAAGACAATTTGACAAGACATTACGTCATACTAACATTGTTAGAGGTGCCCTAATGACTGACCTTCAGACAACATATAGTCACGTGACACCCACCGCCTTGGTCTTCCAGTTTCTTTATACCACTCTCGGGGGTGTTATTTTTATGTCATTTCTTTGCCAGAAAATGGGACACGTGTGTCAATATAAAATGTCTATTTCACTTGAATCTGTTCTTTAGATTTTTGCTAAACCCTATTTACAGTTTGTCCACATCAATCAAAAAAAAATCTTGCACATTATTTTGAATATAATCATTTTTATAAATCCGACGGTTATACTATTGGTAATTAAATATAGCGATAAGTTGCATTCCATTCGAGCCAAGCATAACCATTTCTGACAAAGGAATATCGCACTTTGTGGTCCCGATTGAGTAAAAACACATGGCCACATCACCGCAGTGAATGAATGTTTGAACTTTACTTTTGAACATTATTTACATGGATGGGATGTTACCAGAACAACAAAAAATAAAGATTCGGCACCGTATCCATAACCTGTTATTTTTCGTTTGTTTTCTTTTTGGTCTCTTTCCGTTCCACAAATATCAAACTTGATTTTTTTTCGTTTTTAATTGGGAATATTTTGTCATAGCGTGTGAAGATATATAGTTTATGGTTTAAAAAAATAGCTTGCCGGAGTCCTTATTATTGGTACTACATACTTCAGCTGTATTCCATCCACCATACGTGGATGACATTAACGAAATACCATTAAAATGTGACCTTATTAATTGTCCTTTTCGGGTTTTTTCATCCAAAGGCATTATTTAATGAAAGGTTTGCTCAAGTGTTGGTAAGCTTTGCCTTATCTGTGGTCTTTGGAGGCGATCTCAGTTATAGTTACTGCTCGTGTAATTATACATAATCACGTGATGACTTCACGTTGATTTCGTTAAAAAAAAACAACTAAATTTGTTGGAATGTTGAAATTGGGTATAGTATCGATTTAACTCGACACTTGATGCCAGTTTAGTCTCGACCTAATTCGACACCCAATTCAAACAAGACAAGTCATTATGGCTTGAACCGACACCGGTGTTGTTTATTAGGACAAATCATACCATCTTTGGACAAGTTTGTCTTCAAGCAATTGGAGAAATTTCATCCATGGACTCAGACTTTATTTTCAATTTTTGGGAAACTCACAGCTCAGCTTTTCTGTACAAACGTCTGTTGTAGTGTGTTCAGCTATGTGTTGTCCGATAGTGGGGTTCGTCCATCACATTTCGGACACGTACCAACAGACAGCGTGCATGTCTGCTACCACGGTGTATTCGAGACTCCTCTCATTTGTACGAGAAGACAAACACGAGCGGAAAGAAAGCATTTATGACATGAGAATTGTTGGGTATTTCTAGACTGGATCACGGAACCAATAAATATATTGATATGGACGAGATTTCACTGCTAGGGAAGTGTCTGTCTCATCTTGATTTGGCAGAAATCACATGCAGCGTCTGAAAAAATCCAGGATTATCATATATTCTCACAATAATTCCATTGGTTTGACAAAATGGTCGTTTTAGGATATAAGAGATTCACATGTAAAATTATTGGCCCCAGTCCAAACTAAGATAAGAATGATGGTTTAAAACGTGTTTACGGATACTTTGTTGATGTGCTTTAAGGTGTGTGGAATTTCTCTATAAGTCAGTTCCGCCTAACGATACGATGACAAGTATTTATGGCCCATGCCTCCGTATTGAATAGAACAAGTTTACATCCAGGAACTTGCCTTTCCATAAATGATGAAATTTATTGCGGAAAACATGTAAGGTTCAGATCCGAAGAGTGGCACGTCAGTTTTATAGCTATCTGAAAAGAAACATTGTCGTCTTTTTAAGATGAAAATGATTGTGTTTTGAGTTAAATGTCGGCTTGTCATGGTACAGGAAATACTTAGGGCATATGAGGATAATACATACATATTTACTAGTATTATGTATGTTTGAAATATTTACTGTATATATTCGCGAGTATTGAAGAAGTTTACAATCTGTTTGTGAAGAAACAGGCATTGGAATATCACACAACGCTAAACTCTGAACAAATACGTCTTTGTAAAATTTGTAGAATTTCGCAAATAGCTCATGTACATCAGTACATTGCATCTAGAATGCACGAGAAAAAAAACACCATGTCTCTGTGTATCGCCGCGTATCCTATCCAATGTAATGTCTTTTCAGTTGTAACATAAATTTCCGATCTCCCATTGGATATTACAGCACATCGCTCTGCAAATGTCTTTAAACGGAAAAAACATTATATGCATATATATATATATATATAACACGCGATATATGTGACACAAACTGGGTACAAAGAAGTTTTATTAATAATTTATTCTACTTTTTATTACCTGTTTAAAGGTCTGCTGACATCTTTGCGGTCCATCGACTGCAGTGATCCGGTGTGAATACCTGATTGTTATTCCATCCTATAGGTAACCAGGGATTACATATGCAGACAACTCATAACTAAGACAACATATTTGTATTTACCGGAAAGAAACTAAGTAAAATCACATAACCATTACAACACATATATGTCCTTATTTTAACTTATATATATTGGGTTCCTAAAACCCCTCTAAGCCCCATCCCAACTCGCCCCACCACATCCTACCCCAAACCAATACAACGAAAAAAATCTATGTTGCAAGCGATTTATTTTAGTAATTATTTCCGTTGCTGTAGACAATTGGATCGATTCTTGGCATATCGGATTTCACCGACAATTTATACCGATCTCGATATCTTCCGTATCCGTATAAGTACATACATTTTTTTTAAATGTTATGAATGAACATGAAAAATTGTCCTACCAAATCATTGTATCGGGAGCAGCACGTGTGAACAGTATTGAGAGCTAAGTGTAACGATCTAGGTCTATATATATGTACATGTAATTAATGTATACAGAATCAATAATATATTACCTTTATATTCATGTCTTGTCCCTTATTTTTATTATTATTATCATTATTATATTGTATATGAAAAATCACATTATGATACCGAACAAAATGATCACTTTATGATATCGTGTGCGTAAAACACAATCTTCGACATCTGGATCACTGGAACATTTGATCTCATTACGGATCGGAGTCTCTGACCTAGGGATTGTTTAAATGGTCATAAGGTATACCTTTCGAGCATTTATGAGGAAATAAAAACGCGCCAAACCAGAAATAATTAAAATGATATGTAAATAAAGATATTACATACACATGTAGACAAAATGTTGCCGTGTGTATTCCATATACTTACTATCAATTCAATACGATGTATATCATAGTAAATACATAGTAAATATTCTGTACATCCTATAATGTTATAATGACTGAATGTTTTAGCGAACGGTTTATCTTAATGCACAAATCAGACAACAATCTCAACTTCACTCATTGTAAGAGGGTCAAGTCACCCTAGCGCATGCGCCACCTGACACCATTTGTGGACACAACGGCCGGAGTTTAAAAGACTGAATCTATACGTTGTGGTCCCGGGCTATCGACCTGTGAATATACATTTGTTATAGATACTGTAACAACTCATCAGTGAATACATGTAACACTCGCCCTAGACTCACACGGGACAACGCTTAAACAATTAGTTTCATACAATACTATGATTCGGTATCGACCTTAGTCTGTCGTCATAAGTAAAACACATGTATATATTGGAGTTCTTCAATCATATGTCTGTTTGTATTGTATTGTTCTGGTTTACCACTACAACTTCTCTGATACTCTAGTGTAGCCATGGTGTGCTTGCTCGCGTCTGTACTTCTGGACGGTTATATACACGAAATGTATATCTCACATCAGACGTACATAACGTTAGAAACCCTTTTCATGACAAGGATAAGTTGAAACATAAATAATAGAGTCGCTTGCATACTCTCCATATCTTTTGTGTACGCCATCATTACAATTACATGCATTCTCCTATTTCATCAATATTGTCCGCCTTAGTGGGTTCGTGGTAAGACGCCGAATCTGTTGTCAATACCCCTAACACCACCAAGGGCGGCGATTTTTGATCTCACTTAACACTATATCTCGCTAATACGTCAATGAATCCAATATGAACATGTCTTGGGAACGTGGAAAACGATATAACAAAACAAGAATATCAGAAATAGCCTGAATTCTTTTGGTATATACTTCTCAAAATGAAGAAAAGAGAGGATAGCTAAATGCTTTGGTCATGGGTGAGGGTTTTCTTATTATATGTATTGGTTTTACGGACAAAAGGTGTGACGTGAAAAGCATTAGCGTGGCAAGCGGTCAAGCCTTTATCTCATCCCTATATACATATGCGTTCACCGATCAATTCAGCCAACGGATTTTAAAACAGCATTTGTATGTTAACATATGTCTATTCTTAATGGGTACAGGTATGGGTTTGTTAGTGTAAAGTCCCGGACTTCTCAACAGATAGAGCACCCTCGCACTAACCCGACTATTTGTTGATTTATTTGCAGAACAAATGAAGGTGGAGAAGCACTAGCGCTAACCTAGCATCATCAGCAGCAGCTCCAGCATCAGCAGCAGTAGTACTAGTAGTAACCCGCCTCAGCCAGCCAGCACAACTATCAGGACAGTGCTAATGATACCACTCGCTTTCAACTCGGACTGGAAAACTGCGGGACACGAGTCGCACTGGTGACACCCAGTAGGGGCAATGGTCAAGTAAATGAAGTGACATCTCGGAATGACCGCTCACGCCCGTGGACGTACTTGTTCCTCTGGACATAGCAGCAAGATGTGCTTATTATTCTAATTGGGATATTTGTTACAGTGGAATTTTTTATCTTTCTTTTCTACTTGTATCTTTTTTCAAGAGTTTTACTCGGATATTTGTGACATCGGAAACCTTGTGTTTCATTTGTGATTTATATACAATACATTTGATTATGCTGAGGAAAAATAATCTCAAATACCCCCGTAGTGACGTAAGAAGGATATATCTGATGACTGTGGTGGAGGGACTATACCTACAGTTACTGCTCTTGTGCGGTAAGTAGACATATGACCTGGTCACGACAGCCCCGGGTCTTTCACTGTCTCCGATTACACGCAACAACGTGTGATTAGCTTCTAGTAATTAATAATCGTCCTTTTAATTCAGTTACTGAGTACATATATTTTTTTTCTTTTTAGATCTCATTTGATTTTCATGACATTGTGATTTTTTTCCTCAATTTAATTATTTTACATAGATTTTGTCAACAACACTGATGTTGTTGTAAGTAATATGTACCCATTAGATATGAAAACTGTTTAGGACAATGTAAGAAAAACAATATTTGTAAAAAAAAAAAAAAAAAAGATAATGTATTTCTGGGCTATTGTGCAGGATATATAATTCCACATAAGCGTTTACATATGCATACTACTACAACCTTTTTTGACACAGATACCTACAGAGCAGTTGTACTGCTCAAATATACATTTTGCACATGTTGGGTTGAGATGCCAGGGGTTTGTGCTGTACATGTAGATGGTCTGGGTAACATCAATGTGCATTTCTATATACGTGTAACTCATTCCTCTCGCTATTACATATAATACCAGGTCTCTCCTTTCAATAACAAGTCTAAAAGATGTCTTGTACACGTAAATCAAACACATTTTCAGAAAACAATTACAATTCCGTAATTTTTATGAACATGATAATGGCAGATTGAAATTTAGATGCCATATCGGCCGGAGATAGCGTGCTTTTTAAACTATAAGGTTGAATTAAAAATCAATTACACATTTCCTGGGGACATTTCCGTATTTTCACGCTCACAATAGCACTAACCGCTGAATATATTCCAACAGACAGCAATATAATTACTTATCAGCTATAATACTCTCGATTCTATTCTTTGCCTGTTAGTCAGACAAAATTCATTTACTGTGAGTTTAAGTAAAGATAACAAGAGACGACAAATCCTAATAGTTTTCATGCTTTTGAATTTTACACGTGTCAATTTTGTTTGGATCCTTATTTTCGAACCAAGGACATTCTATTCAACTCTATATAGATTTTTTGTCAAATGCTATTTATTAGATGTTCTGCACAGATAGGCTGTCTGATTTGTTTACTGATATATTGACACATAACATGTACAATATCTGTCCATTGTGTACATAGCTATTTCATTTCAGATATACCAGTTCGTATTATGTATTAATTTTTATTTGGAGAAATTGATGGATATTAATTTTCTTTACTTGGTTGCATTACAAAAGCAAAGCATTCATCTAGATAAATATCTATTCTACCTTTGTTAGACGTTTCTCATAACTTCAACCGTTCAGTATCGTCATATTTCAAGACCCACACTTCGACAGTTTTCCATTTTAGACAAAACTATCTTCAGAGGCACACCTATTTAGACTAAAAATACATTATCCAGTTCTTTCAGACTTTTATGGGCTTTTTTTTTTGTCGAGATATGTTAACTTCAGATTGTCGAAGACTACTGCAAAACTAATTACGTAATTCGCTTTCTTTATATGACTTCGTTAAAACGACGATAGTGTTGATAAAACGAGATACGTCTTTATCACTGTATTTTCGTCTAGACAGTCTTCATATGAATTTATACCGCTGGCAACTCTATTCAATTTATTTTGGCAACTCGATATAGAAAGCATTTTGTTTCAGGATCATTTAAAGCAGGAAATATTGACCGTTTGACCAGCAAAATATCATTTGATACATCACTTGTCACAGTTCGTCAAATACAATTTTATATAAAAATTAAACTTCCGTTTTATATAAACCCATGATTCAAAAATGTAAATAACGTTGTTTGTTTTAATCACTTGATGATACTCCCGATTATGCATTGCACCTCTTTTACTAAGGCATTGTTACACATGTTTTGCATGTATAGAGTTCCATTTTGCTTGATTTGTCTTTGGTCCGATTCTATAAATGTATGCGATATGTTTCGTGTTTGCGTCAGCAAATGTTTTTTATTTCCTGTCAAACCTTTTCCCGAAGCAAGTGCTTAAAACAATGTATTCATTAAGTTTGTAACAAAAGAATGAACCACGTGCGGTCTTATCATCGACATGTCATATCGATACTTTTTTTAGGGAACTCAAAAAACATACATATTTGTTTCAGAGCATAATCTAATACATGCAGGAAAGTACAATTAACTGTGTTAAATACATAGTATATGATTCCTCTTACACCGAAATATTAAAATAGCGCCACCAGTGCCATAAACAGAAAAGATAGAATCATTGTATACAATACTGGTAGCTATGACTTATTAATATAACAAAATATTTACTGAAGTGGCGCCTGGTTAAATTTTTGCACATTTACTGCATTCTAGAGCTTTAAGTTACCAATAGAAAGCACCATAAGCATAAACGTAATTTAATAATTTAATACAATATTAAATTACCTAAAACAATATGTAGTTGAATCTTCTGAGATTGGAAGTCAGAGGGAATCGTTATTTTCTGTGCTGTTATCGCGATCACCATGTATACAGATGTAAATCTTAATAAACTTGCTTTAACATCGATGTTGTAGGCACATGCTACTTATTTACAAACACTGGGAACAATCTTGTCGGATCGAGTCAGGCAGCCATTGTGTTATAATGCATATCATGAAAAACAGAATATTTTCCAACAAATTGTATATAATTTATCTTGTTTTGCGGAATGATGGAGTGTTCCTTAACGGGTCTACACTGCTATATGTAGGTTTTTGTCGTCTGTACTTTCCTTACAATTGTATAACACATTAATCAATATGAAAAATTGGAAAAGAAAAAAAATAATGAAAAAAAAGAAATATATATTATTCTAATGCACCTTAGCATGTGGATATTTCCAATGATATGTTTGGTGTAAAACGTAACAATAATACATGCTATATTCCTCTTGAAAGACAATTAGAAAGCGAATCCCGGTGAAACAAACATTGTACATGTAACAACTGTAATACAACCACAGAACAATGACACTTTCAATATGAGTCACGGTAAACCAGAACACTTCAAAGTACCCAAATGTCTAAAACACATTTACAATATGACAATTACAGCAAACAGTCTATGGATCCGTTTAAAAAGCCTCTAGTCAATTTCAATATATAGAGATTATTTTACGAGCAAAACAAAAAGCGGAACGTGTAATTACCATTTTATCATCCTACCTTTTATGTATTGTTGATGAGTTCAATTAGGCGATCGGAGAGATTGTGTGTGTGTGTTTTGTTTTTAAAGTTTAGCGATCTATGGTAGATATCAATATAGGTTCGGCATTGTTTACAAATCGATCTTTGATATCAATGTATAATAAATATAAGGATCGTGTCACAAACAAGTCAATGTCCATTAGACGACGTAATGTAGTTCTGTATCATGGTCCTGACTAAATAGGGTTTGTACGAAACAATCTTGATATGGATAGTTAGTATAGAGCGTTTATTAAATATCCGTTGTGTGTTACAATTGATCATTTCACCTCTCGTGTGTAAAATAGTCACAAAACACTTGAAAAATGTGTAAGCATACAGTCCTAGACGCATTTTTTATATGAGGGATTTAGCACCAAATATGAAAGTAACATGTGGAATTATGGACACAGAATATCAGTTCATTTGCTTAACTTCAGATTGAACCCACAGACATGTTAAACACGGATGAGATAACAGGCACGTGTGCTTATTTATAGTACATTAATTACACGTGTACAAACACATGTGCCACAGTTATAGCAGCTCAGTTGGTGCCAATAGTTTTTTTCGAAATACTTTGTAACGCGTTTGACCATATGCTCATTACGTGTTTGGTTCTCTTAGTGTTATGGTAGTGAGGTTACTACTACTTATACTGATCAGGTATAACTTCAGTTTTTGAGATTGCCTGGATTTATATCGTCAATGTTCCAGCTGGTCTCAGCGTCTGGTCCAAACCTCCAACATTCCTAACTGTTGGTGTGGTTACATATGAGAATGACCCTGTGTAGAGAAGGTCTGTTCTTAATTTGTGACCCGATCACAAACCATTCATCCTCACAGTAAGAAATGATTACCTGGTAGTGTTAACATAGTGGACTCTTAATTATAGGACTCTCTTCACATATTTGCAGCTTACAGTGAAGTAGAGATAAAATCCTGATTATCAGAACTGCGGGAGATAGATGCGTAGAACTCCCTCTTCAAATATGAAAAGTTTTCCGGGATCATCTCTGAAACCTCAACTAAATATAGGTATTTACATATAGCTGAGCAGTACTCATTTCTCTTATCCAAATATTTAAAAAACAATAATTGTAATGTACACGTATCTGGTGCATGTTCCACCAAAGAAAAAAAGAATTCTAATACATTATGGTCATATACATGTGATGTGTGTGCAGAGACTTTTACAATTTGTGTTAAGACACCGTTTCATTAATGCACATTTGAAATGTAGATGCAAAATGTACCAAAATCAATTTATTACTTTTTATTTTTCAAGCAACAATTTAAAAATATTGGAACGGAAACGAAAGACAAAAAGAAAGATAACTCCGCATTACTTCCGTTGGTGGTTATTATGAACATGGATTCATTTAAGTACACAAAATGAAACACAACAAAGAAGATATCATATTTACTCTCATTGTATCTAATATAGACGTATGGGCTATGGTTGTATTCATTGAACCATGTGGTGTAATATTTCAGTAGTTTTGTTATATTTGAATTATCGGTATATTTAAGTAAAGCATCCACGCCGAGGTATGGTTCAGATTGAAACATCATCACCTTAGAAACTGGAAGATGATAACTTTATGTAATGCAATAGATGTCTTATCAGTCACCACGCTTGATATATGTAGTACTTTACATAAATGAAAAGAAATGGAAAGTATTAAAAGCTTGATCGTCAAACACCATATTCATAATCTAGTATAAAATACTCGACGAGTTCGTACGAAGACAATTAGAGCCAAACCAATATGTTGTGATATTTGATAATGAGAACATGAGTAAGCAACGGGGTTTA